TTGACCATATGCAACATATACCTACCCATCAAAACTGGGAATATAATCAATGAAAAGCATATGTGAACAGCTCCCAAACCCTTTCTCTTAGTAGGAGATTTTAACTCGCATAACCCTCTTTGGGGCCTCACAAAAACTGGACACCAGAGGGAGGATAGTGGAAGATATAATTAACGAAGCAAATTAATGGTGCTGAATAAAGGCGAAGGAACATTTCTTAACTCTAGGTCGTGCAACTACAGTGCGATAGACTTGGCACTTTGTAGCCCAAGTGTATCATATCTCTTGATTGGGAAGTTTTAGATGATCACTCATCTGACCATCTCCCAATACTACTTAACTGTGCCGTACAAAATACAAGTGTTCCACTTGCAGAAAGGTGGATTGTTTAAAAAGGCAAATTGGGAGAAATTTCGAGAACATTTGACTCCAATGCGAATAGGTGATTCAATATCTGAAACCGTCAGCAACGTTACTGACAGTATATTGAATGCTGCTTCCGAAAGCATCCCTAAAGCAAACATACACCTGGTAAACCTATAGTACCCTGGTGGGATCAACAAATGAAGAAGCCATTAAAGGCAAAAAGCATAACTACAATGTCTTCAAAAGAACCCAACTCTGGCAAATATGATGAAATTCAAACAAGCCAGAGCTAGAGCACGGAGATTGATGTTAGCAGGCCAAAGAAATTCTTGGCAAAAATATGTATCTGACATCACTTCAGAGACCCCAAGCTCAGATGTATGGAAGAAAATCAGAACCATATCCGGCAAACACTTCGCCACACCTTCCCCAGTGTTACGAGTAGGAGGAAGAGAAGTTACGGGCGCTACAGAGATAGCCAACACGCTAGGCATGCACTTTGAAGAGATATGTTCCAATGACAACCTAAGCCTTGGGCCTATCAAAGGAAACTAGAAATTGAAAGCAATGCACTTGACTTTAGTGAATCTAACATATCGGAATATAACAACAATTTCACTCTTACCGAATTCGAAAATGCTCTCTCAAGAGACTAACGACTCTTCCGCTGGCCCGGACTCCGTCCACTATTGCATGATACGCAACCTACCAGTAACAGAAAAACAAGCAATATTAGAAATGTTAATAAAATAGGCAAACTGGTACTTACCCAGATCAGTGGAGAGAATCAATAGTGATACCTATTCCTAAAGCAGACAAGATTCAACAAGCTGAGAGCTACAGACCAATATCCCCTGACCTGTTGTCTGAGCAAAATCCTAGAAAAAATGATAAGTCGAAGATTAATGTGGTTACTGGAGACACGAAACCTGCTAATAAATTCTCAGACAGGTTTCAGCAGCACAGATCATCCGTAGACCACCTTATCCACTTGGAAACAGCCATACAGAACAGTTTTGCCAACAGGAGCCATCTGATTGCTATCTCTTTTGACCTAGAAAAGGCATACGATACCGCCTGGGGATATGGAGTCCTATCAACTCTCCATCAATGGGGAATTCGGGGACGGCTGCCCACATTCATTGCAAGCTTCCTTGCAAGCCGGTCGTTCAAGGTAAGGCTGGGGGACAAAGTATCTCATACGTACCTCAAGAAAACGGAATACCTCAGGGCTCCACCCTCAGCGTAATCTTGTTTGTAATAATTGCCAACAACTTACTCCAGTGCATCGATGAATCCATTGGAAAATGTATGTATGTGGATGATTTAACGATATATTACTCGGCAAAAGAAATGGTCACGATGGAAAGTAAACTTCAAGAGACCATCGACAACCTGGTTGAAACTGCTAAAAGAAATGGTCTTAACTTTTCTAGATCAAAAACTACAGTAATCCATTTTTGTCGGCTAAGACAGCACATAGGGAACCTGCATTAACCTTGGAAGGAAACTTAATCCAAGTCAAAGAAACTCACCGGATCCTTGGAGTAATCTTTGATCGTAAACTTACGTGGAAACCACAAATCGAGTCATTAGCTGTTAGATGCAAGAAAGCCCTTAACGTAATAAAATGCGTCTCCAGCATAAAATGGGGCGCGGACAGAGATGTCCTACTGACGCTATACAAATCGCTGGTAATGTCAAAAATGGAATATGGTATTGTAGCTTTGCTGCTGCCAGAAGATCGCATATACGTACCCTAGAAGTCATCCATCGTGAAGGATTAAGACTGTGCTTAGGTGCGTTTCGCACTAGTCCATCCAGCTCGATATATTGCGATGCGAATACTCCACCACTTGATTTACGCATATCGCAGTTAATGCTTAACTATGGAATTAACATATGGGCTCAACCCTCTCACCCAAACCACGATATCATTTTCAACAATGATAGCAGTGAAGAATACGACAACCGACCTACTATTACAAGACCATTCGGAGTCAGACTATCAGAGATTATAAACGACCTTGGCGCTGTTATCCCTGACATATACACTAAGAAACCAAGTGAAACTCCACCATGGATCGACACCAGGACGAATATTGTACTAGACTGCGCTATTTATCAAAAAACATAACATCGGGATATGTTTATCTAAATAAATTCAATGAAATAATAAGTAGATATAATACACCTGAAGTCATCTACACAGACGGAGCGAAAAATGAAAGTGGCGTAGGATCAGCTTTCACCACCCTAACAGAACCTTTAAGTATAGTCTAAATCCTATTACTTCCGTATATACAGCCGAATTGTATGCCATCTCGGCAGCTCTTAAATACTTGCTTGACAAAACAACCCGGTGTAGTACATACCTCATATGTACAGATTCAATGACCGCCCTTCAATCTATACGAAATCAACAAGCTAAGAATCCCCTCGTCCAGCAGGTGATTAATCGGTGCCATAAAACTAACGCATAATTCGAACACAGTCGTATTTATTTGACTCCAGGGCATGTAAATATTCCTGGCAACGAACTAGCAGATGCAGCAGCTCGTGACGCGACCCAAAATGGAACCCCCGTCAGCACCGTACTTCCTGAAGACCTAAAAGCCCATTTCAAGCTCCAGATACATCAACGTTGGCAAAATCAGTGGAGCCAAAGTATAAGTCGTTTGAGGATACTACAACCTACAATCGAGAAATGGAAATATCCGACAGGCCTAACTAGACGAGAACAAGTGTGTCTTACAAGAATAAAGATTGGACATACTCACCTAACTTCATCACATCTTCTCCTAGGGCGAAGCCCAATACTATGCGATGAATGCCACTGCACTCTTACCGTAGAACACATCATCCTGGAGTGTCCAAAATTTAACTCTAAGCGCCTAGAATGTTTTATACCAAGAACCTGAAAGAATGCTTTTCAAACAACAGAAACATAAACAACTTACTGAACTTCATGAAATCGACAAATATGCTACACAAATCTAAACAAAAAATCTTCTAATATAAAAATCTTAAAATATTAGCTCCAACATAAATATCTCGAAAATATGTATATGTGGGTATATGTGTATCAAGAAAACAATGAATCCTATATAAGAATGCATTGTTAACACAACTTACCTGAATTCTGTCTGGCACACCAAATATTTTGCTAGGAACAGGACAAACTCAATGCTGTAGTAATTTACCTATGGTAAACACTCAGTTTTACCTCCATACTGAATTAAGTAATGGGATGATGCAATGAATTATTTATACTGTATGTGATTGTGTGCGTTCTATATATTATCCAACTCTCAGATCTATCCCTGAGATGCTAGGTTCAACTTAATGACCTCATGAGGTAGGAGGGAAGTGGCTAATGACCATAGCTGTCGATGCCACTGTGGGTTAAAAAAAAAAATAATAATAATAATAATAATAATAACAATTATATCGGCTAATAACCATAGAGTTGACGCCGTCAAAAAAAAATAATAATTATAATTATAATAATAATAATAGTTATAATAATAATAATAATAATAATATAATAATAATAATAATAATAATAATAATAATAATAATAATTATAATAATAATAATAATAATAACCCGTGTGGAGTTGCTAGTCTCCCATGGGCGCCTCCCTGTGCGAATTGGGAAACGCTCTCCAGATATGGAGAGTACCGGGGAAATAAAATACCCGGGGTGGACAAAAACTAGCACCACCGCTCTATGGGTTAGCACCCCCTAGAACGTGTATATTTGAATGCTCTTAAAACAAGAAATAAGAGATACTCAGGCGGGCCGGCGCAGTAGGAGCCGGGTCGGAACCGTCTTGAAGATTTACCTGCAACCTACCGCGGCAGTGAACAAGGACCAACCAGATTACCAACCCAGTCGAGTACACCACCACCAATCGTACCAAGCCAAGATGTCGGTGTTGCTGGGCCATCAGAGCCCATGCCCACCACGTCACAAGGCACAGTTAGGCAAAGAACAATGTGGACAGAAGAAATCAATGCATTCATGGTTCGCTGCTATTACAGATTAACCCGACTAGAAACCGCTATTACAGATTAACCCGACTAGAAACCGCCAAAACTCCATACAGCCGAGAACTAAATAGATTGGTAACTGAAAAATTTCCAATGCTTCGTCATAAGACCAGCGAAGATCTATATTTATAATAGACGCCTACCACCAAATATTATTACACAAATAAAGCGTGAAGTTGCGTCAGAACTATCTATAAATTTACCTGCTGATCTCCGCAATGCTGACGATGAACCAGTGGGCCCAGTACCGGAGGCCAACAGGCCACCCGCTGCTTCTGAGCTGGAATTCGAAAGGATTCATTTGCTTTATGATGGAGTGGACCCTATGATGGAACCTAGACTTTCCAAATAATTTATAATAACAAGACTAAACCTATATTGAGTGAAATCAACAAAATTCTGGATTCCAAAATAAACAACTGATATACCCATCGAAAATCTACACAGCCTTATTTATAGTGGAGCAGCAACGGTGCTAACACTAAACAAGCAGAAAATCTCCACGGACACACAAATTAAAAATGTCTCAGTCACGCCAGCATGGCAGCGCCGAATTACTAATAAAATCGATAGTATCAGGCGGGAATAGGAATTCTGACACAAAATCAAAGCTTGAACCCCAGCAGCTCAGTCACTAAGAAAGCCAAGGCCATTCTTGGAAGGGAGCAAAGACTCGAAAACCCAACAGCAACAGAAATACTGGATCACCTTAAGCAAAAGCTCAAGGCTATGGCTAAAAGCTCCGACGGTATAAGGAAAGTAACACAAGACGTCAACACAATAGTCAGTTTAGCAGGAGTGAAAGGAGCTTTTATAAAATTTAGAGTCAGAAGATCACGAGCCTCAAACCCTGAAAGAAAATAAGGTCCCCACACCAGAGGCCACGAAAACGTTTTGGGAATCAATCTGGGGGAACCCTGTGATTCACAACAATACCAGATGGCTGTTTGATGAGAAGAGGTCTACATCTAGCCTCCAGACTATGTTGGAATGGGGAGAAGTAACAACCGACCAAGTAACCAAGGCTATAAACAAGACCTCGAATTGGAAGGCACCTGGACAGGATAAAATACAAAATTTTTGGTATAAACAATTCAAGGTCAGTCATCAACATCTAGCCAAATGTTATACTCACCTGCTGTCCAACCCTGAAGAACTACCACCATTCATGACCAGTGGTATCACTTATTTGTTACCAAAAACGAAGGTGTCCTCAAAAGATCCTTCCAAATATAGGCCGATCACCTGCCTTCCTACAATATATAAAATATTCACGTCCATCATATCGGAAAAGATATACAGCCACCTGGAAAGAAATAACCTGTTGGACGAAGAGCAGAAGGGTTGCCGAAAAGGATCCAGAGGGTGTAAAGAACAATTGATAGATACGGTCATCACATCTCACGCGAAACGCTCAAAAGGCTCTTTGCACACAGCGTATATAGACTACCAAAAAGCGTTTGATACCCAGCCTCATTCCTGGCTAACCGAGGTGTTACAGCTTTATAAAGTCGAGCCCCATGTACTGAATTTACTGAACTACGCTATGTCTCAGTGGAAAACCAGAATTGTTTTAAACACCAATCAAAAAAGTGTAGATGCAGGCACCATTAAAATAGAAAGGGGAATATTCCAAGGGGACGCATTAAGTCCGCTATGGTTCTGTCTGTCGCTACGACCCCTGACAACTATGTTGAATATCAAGAAAAAGTTGATGTCATCCCAATAGTGATCGGAGCCACAGGAGAAATACCTAAGAATCTACATAAATATATTGAGAAACTAAATCTACCGCAGAAACTATACCTCTCACTTCAGAAAGCTGCCATCTTAGGTAGTTCATATAGCATGCAAGGTCCTGAATGTAGCCACATAGACAAAGAGAAACCAATAGTCACACTCAGACGCTTGCAGTATAATGCCGCGTTTGAGGATACCACCTGCAGTAGCAGAGAATAGCTAACAATAATAATAATAATAATTATAATAATAATAATATTTATTATATAATTATAATAATAATCCATACCATACCATACCATTTATTGACCACCTATACAAATAGATACATGTTTGGTCACAAACTAGATAAAGTTTATACAGTCTGTCTTCTTGCTCTACACACGATCACTGATCACTAGGATCACATGCACTTAAATATTCACTTACAGTAATTAAGTATTCGCTTACAGTATAGAAGCAGTTTTGTAACAAATAGTTTTTGACAAACCTAGAGAACTGTTTGTTAGACATCTTCTCAATATTAGACCGCTTATGATCCTAGGCTGCGGTAATGATATATCATTAGCGTATCTTTATTATAGCTGTGTGTCTCTGATCTTATCGAAAAAGTACTCAGGTTTGCGTGAACATGTAGAAGGGTCTCATATATGAGCAGGCATGCTAACGGCAGTATGCGCATCTCTTTGAACAAACCACGGCACGTATGTTCGTAGGAGACGCCAGCTACAATCCGTATAGCAGCCTTTTGCATTATAAATGCTTTTTGGGCCTTGACAGAATTACCCCAGAGGATGATACCATACGACAGATGACTATGAATGAGGCTAAAGTACAGTTCTCATGGTTTGTCTGTGCAAACATTGCGCCAGTTGCCTCATGATAAACATTTGTCTGGAAATCTTGGTACAACCTGGTCCACATGCTCCGACCAGGTCAAATGGCTATCCACAACGATCCCTAATAACATTACGGATGATGAACTCTCATTCCATTTGTCTGATGTTATTCTTAGCTTACTGGTTTTCGCTTCATTAAGCTTGAGCTTGTTTGCGGAGAACCACCGCTTAACCTGGTCGAGGCTGTGGGCCTCGTCAAGTTGGGTATCCTTGGAGAGCAGAGTAGTGTCGTCTGCAAAAAGGTAGCATTTGCTATTGTTGACATTTTGTGGGAGGTCATTAATGTAGATTAAAATAATAGAGGGCCCAAGACAGAACCCTGGGGTACCCCGTTCGTAATCGGTAGAACCTGTGATTCTACTCCATCAAGGCTAACCATCTGTCTCCTATTAACTAAGTATGATCTCATAAGCTGTGATGACTTGCCACGGATCCCATAGTACTTCAATTTGTCAAGCAGTATAGCTGTGTCTACGCAGTCAAAAGCCTTGGTTAAGTTACACTAGTTGCTAGAGCGGTGGTTCTCTTGTCAATGCACTCTAATGCATCCTCAAGAAAAACTAAGCATGGCTTTTATGGTTGAACAGTGCTTCCGAAAACCAAATTGGGAAGCTGAAAGGAGGGAGTTCTTTTCAAAGTACTTTATTAATTTTTCTTTGACTACAATTTCGAATAATTTACTTATTAATGGAATTATTGTGATGGGCCTATAGTTATCGAGATTATCTTCATTCCCTTTCTTATGAATGGGAATGACCTTTGACAATTTAAAGCATCAGGCCACACGCCTTCATTAACACACTTATTAAATAGTATTGTTAAAGGATCAATGAATCCTCACTGGCTAAGTCGAGTGTGGGTGAGTTTTTAGTTGAGCTATAGCACATCTCACATCTGTTTGGAGTATCGCAGACATGAAGAATGAATGCAGTGTCTTGGGAGTACGGTTGAGGAGATAGATAAGTTAATAGTAGGCTTTTCAATGCCCTCAAGGATTTTACAAGAAATAGTGCTGAAAAAACTATTGAATTCATCACTTGAGACATTTTTGTGTTCTGTTTCCTGATGCCTCTCTCGCTATCGACTATCTTCCAGATTGCTTTAGTTTTATTTTCCGCCTGGTGTATCATTTCGGAGTAAAAGTTCATTTTTTCCAATTTCAATTTTTGACGGTGTATTCTAGGTATATCCTTATACCTCTCCCAATCACGCTCATCCCCACTATGCGAAAACTGGCTCTTTGCGATCACCATATCTTTCCTTAGCTGCTTCAGTGTTTGCGTATACCACTTAACTTGTGAGCTATCCACAGCTTTTAACGGAAAACAATTATCGATACAGTTTGATATTAAACGGTAGATGCTATTTGCCATGTTATCTGCAGAGTAGTTAGAATCTACATTCATGTCGGACGCCATACTATGGATTCTGTTGGCAAATGAAACCATTCTTTTTTTGTATTAATGCGTCTTTTGGGCGATTTGATTGAATGAATCTCATCTTGTAATATACAAAAATCACAAAAAATTCCTAAGTGGTCAGAAATATTCAGATCAATCGTACCTGTCACTATATACCGTTGCCCAGGTTAGTTAATATGTTATCCAAGGAAGAAGCCGATGTAGGTGTAATTCTGGTATTTTCATTAATATATGGCTCAAGCCAAATGTAATAGTAATATCACGGGGTACTTTACTGCCTCAATGTTACTATTAAAATCTAGATTAAAATCACCTAGAATTAACAAATTTTTGTATTTTGGATAAATTATCTAGTAGGCTATGAAGAGCGTCGTTAAATAAAACGAAAGATTACCTGCACTGGATGATCTGTAAACGGTTATAATGGCAATGTTGTGTATTGTTGCCCCACAAAACTCTGCATGGAAAGGAATACAAAAGTCATTTACATTCAAAGTCTTCATATGGTGATTAGTTCGGGAAAAAATTGCTACACCTCCATGCGACTTTGGGGGCGACAAAAACATGATACAAGATCATAATGATTGATATTTACCAACGACAAATGCTCATCACTAAGCCAGTGTTCAGACACGCATAAGACGTCTACAGATTTGTCACTCAACCACAAATTTAGATCGTCAATCTTGCTTGGCAGGCCCTGTACGTTGATATGCAGTTCGCAGGCGTTTGCTGTCCCATTGAAGTAGCTGATCTTCTTGCTGGAAAAAACCGATTGATGATTACCCCATCCGGCCAATTGTCGCTCTTGAGGATACTGTCGGCCTCGTAGCAGGCAATGTCACCTTGAAGGATTTGTAGCTTCCGGGTATTTGGCATTCAGCTGTTCGACCCGTACTGACGGTGCAAAGCCCTTCAGGTAATCGGCTAGCTGTACTTCAGTGTTTACATCCAACTTTGTAACATGGTATTGCCGGTATTGCTGTGCTGGATGCGCTGCTTTCAAAGGGCACTCAATAATAATAATAATAATAATTATAAAAATAATAATAAATAATATAAAAATAAAAAATAATAAAAAATAATAATAATAACAATAATGATAAATTTATTATAAATAATATATTAATTAATAATAATAATATAATAAATATAATATATATTTATAATTAATCTTATATATTAATTATATAAAATAACAATAATAATATAATA